GGTTCAAAGCTCTTGTTGCTAATGATAAATACTGATATTCATGTCCCAGGACACATTTAATAAGTTATGTTTTCTGAAAAACCTGAATCTCCACCTTTGAGTGCATGGACACCAAATTTGGCCTTTACATGTTTTTGTGTGTGTATGCATCTATCTGTGTAAAACAACAATAATCATAGAAAAAGAGGCTATGGATTTGAAGTTATCACTGAAGAACATGGCAGAGACTGGAGATAAAGGACACAGAAGGGGTTTCAGGGATTTAATGTAATATGTAAAAAATGATGTAATTCTATTTTAACCAAAATAAAAGCAATAAATTAAAAACATCAAAGTCAATAAATCAATCTGTGATAAGGCCTGAGTGGCTTTCTCAAGACAAACCAGTGTTCAGTCTTTAGTTTTTTCATTGTCATAGGAACTTTTGAACATTTGTTTTGATAGTACGTAGCAGTTACTTCAGGTACAATATGACATTTAACCTTAACTTTCACCTTCTTAAACTATTTAAATTCATGTTTAGCTTGTATAAATATTGTTTATTTTGGTCAATATGTCTGGACCAAGGTCAGGGTGAAGGAAATATCAAACGTGTTGCCAAGTCAGATGTGACTGAGAAATCTCTAAGCAGAAACAAAATGGAGTCAGGACAGGATGGCATTACCTTAGCGATGTCATGGTTGGTAAACTGGGTGTCCCTATATCGAAGAAAAAAAATTTCCCTTTCTAAGGAGGTAGTAATTACTATCCATTAAATTAACACTTTCATTGATAAAATATTTTTTAATCAGAATTTTCCTTTTCTCTAATTTCTACTAGATGAGTTTTGTTTGGTTTTGGCATTTTTTAATTTATTGAATTTTTTATTTTGTTTTGTGGGCGTTTAGTTTTTGTTGTCTGGGTGTTATCTTTTTGTTCTTTGAAAGTGAGAGGAAGAGAAAGAACATGAAATTGGTGGACAAGATGAAGGAACGGGAAGACAGCAAGAATTATTAATGTATTGTTTGTATTCACTCAACTTCCAACTGTTCTGACCCTGGTTTGATTGAAGATCAATCAAATCACATCAATCCTGGTTTCTCTTCAGAGACAAACCATGAATTCTCACCCCAAACCACTGGGACTTCAACATTCGCAAAACATCAGTTGAGGCAAATGAAATCTAAGCAGACTTGTGAGTCTGAAGTCTCTGTTTGGGTCCTGGACCCTAAGAAAGAATGACTCTGATGACACGGCTCTATGGCAGTCTTCTCAGGAGTCTGGGAAGGAGAAGAGAGTGAGGAGCCTCTGTGTCCAGATGTTTAGCAATGTCATTCACTGGTGCTGAAGCATGCCCATGTTTGGTGCTATTCTGCAAGTTGTTATAGTTTTCATGAAAATAAAACCCCTTTCCAAATGATCTTTCAATCACAGAACTGTGGATAGGTGAGCATTTGCCCAAAATAAACATCTTTTCAGATGCTGAAGGAATGAAGACTTTACTTAAGAATATGCTGAAAGTGCAACTGGTAAAGGAATTCATGTTAAACTTCAATCTCCAGAAGCAGAATTGGCTTGATAACTGCATGAAGACACCCAAGTGGTGATGACTGGGTTATTCTAAGTCAACTTGTCCTCACTTTCCCTCAGTTCTCTTAAAGTTATTTCCAGCCTTTTATTCCCTAGGATGCTCAGGGTGTGTGTTGAGATATACAGAGTTTCCAAATTTTCTGTTGCACATCCTTAAATATGCTTTCACTCTCCTGCTGACTTCCAAGCTAGGTTTTTGTATCCAATGAAGCCTATTTCAATCAGATAGAAATTCTGTTTGTTTGTTTGTTTGTGTGTTTGTTTGTTTTTTCTGACTCAAGTTTAAAACTTGACAGGGATAGAAAACCTTGAAAACCAGGAGGAATTCACTTATTGGTATTGTGAGATATATCTCCTACTGCTAAGAGCCAACTGACTTTATTTTCCTGTGTGACTATCCCTTTTTCATACTGAAAAACTATTCACTGTAGACAAGAAAAAGAACTTGTAGGCTTTAGATGTTTAAGTATATCTTCCATGTTGTTTTTGTTGGTTTTGGTTTTCTGAGGCAGAGTTTTACTATGTTGCTCAGGCTAGCCTACTGAATCTAGCCTCAAAAATTCCTTCTATCTAGGATCCCAAAGAACTTAGGACTTCCAAAGCCATTAACAATGTGGCATAAAAACCAATTTAAATTTTTTTCGATTGGAAATCTTTTTGGCTTTTATATAGCATTAAGTAAGCAATCCTTGCCAAGTATTGGGCAGTGAAACAATCTTTAATTCTGTGCATTGCTGATGTCCACAAATACTGCAGCAGTTTCTATTGACTAAGCCTTTATGTTCATATTTATATTTTGTTCATTTGTGAAATACACATGTAAAATAATTTCTTTAATGAAAGTTGTGTATTTTCATTATATAACTAATT